TATGTACTCTCTCTCTCTCTGACAGATAAATAATAAAATCTTAAAAAAAAAAAAAAAGAATAAGGACTGTTGGACAAAGGGGAGTAGACTCATGAATAACATTTAAAAATGATCTTTAGGTAACTTTCAGCTTTTCAGTTATAGAGCAAACCCACATTTTGAGGCTGCAATTACTCTTCTTCTCTTAGAAGTATAGTTAGATGGGCACTACTTCCCCAATGTATATAATTTTTAAAAATAATGGCCTGGATTATAAACAAGAAAGCTAGTTATTACCATGTAACAATTTTATGTAATGGGGTATAACTGCTTTCTAATTGTTCCATGTTCTCTCATTTTTTTATTTCTTTATCTCTTAATTAGATTTTGACTACCTCAAGGGCCCGATAAATACCCTGCACTGCTTAAAAGCTTAAACTCTGAAGGTTGAAGATTGATAGAGCTAGTGAGATTTCTAGCCCTTGAGAAAATGATGAACCTCTCTAGGCTTCAGTTTCTTCCTGTGTAAAATGGGAATAATAAGAATACCTTCCTCATAGGGTTGTACTAAGGAATAACTAAAGTGAATGAAAGAACATAAATAAAATGTTTCCATTTTGTGACAAACAGAGCAGCATTTAAGTTTGCTAATGTTGAAATAAAACATATCTACTATCTTTTCTTCTGTCATATACCTTTAGCTCTGTGCTGGAAGGCATTCTATTTGTTTGTTATCACCTTTTGTGGAAAGTCCAGGACTGACAAGTCACTAAATTTGAGGTTATGTTTGGGATAGTATGACAGAAACTAAAGATTGGAAAACTCGATAATCCCTCAGGGCAGCTGAAACTGAGGCACAATCAGGAGCCCATGTGACTACTCAACTGGGAGAGGCATGCCACAGGCAACAAGATACAATGGAAGCAGTAAACAAGCGATGGTTTCTAAGGGACAGGAACTCCAAGTGAAAGCACCAAATTATTTATATTTATATATATATATATATATTTAATTTCAACACATTCATAGAGAACATGAGCATGGTAAAGACAAGTTACTATGTTGAACAAATTAAAATATTTACATAAGCTGAAATAATTGCAAATGCAAAGCTAAGGAGAATTGCACTGGATTATAATTTGTAAAGAAACTACTAGACTCAGCCACTGCACTTCCTCACTATTCTCAGTGCTTCCAGAACCTCTGCACCTCCCTCCCTTCTGCCACTTCCTCCAATCCAATCTGTATAAACAATGTAAAAGCAATGGCAGTTTTTAAGTTTAACAGTGATTAGTAGAGCTGATTCATATAGTAAACTGAGAAGAGCCATTTAAGAAAAAAGAAAAGCATATTCTACAATTAAAGACATATCATTCAGCTTATCTGTATATACGTATTTATATATAACTTACATAAATATAGATATAATATACATAAATATAGCCACTAGGCAATCACCACAAAGTATTTAAGGTAAATTATACGCATTATCAAAATCTGTCATGTATCATATTTCTATTTAATGCATCCAAATGCCCTAATGATTACTGAATGGAAGCAAACTGGTAAGCTGCAAGTGATGTCTAGAAAATTGGTCACTGAGATTGTGTTAGAAACCTTCCAGGAATAGAAGCAAACAGAAAACAAGTAAGTATAATTGTTTCCATAGTTGTAGTCAATATTAAATTAAAATGTACCATACAGATTTTTTAACTGTTGATTTAAAATTTCTTGGTTTTAAATGTGAAGAATGGCTCCTCTAAAGTATTCCTAAAATAAAACAGAATACTTAATAAATAACTGTGATAGAGCTCTGTGTTTTATTACCTTATTTTATTTGTCTGGGTCATAAATGAAGGATTTCAATCTTTCATTTGGCATCTTCAGAAGTACTGAATTTATACACATAAAAAAAGTTACATTTATCTTTTCTTATGTGACTTCAGAAAGTAAACAAACTGGTGGTTTTATTAAGCATTTATTAACCTTATAACCATGCCTCAGACTTAATGTTAAATATATTGCTGTGTGTCCTGAAAAATATTTCTTCAGTGGGGAGGAAATACACTATTTCTTGAAAGACAGAAGAAACACAGAACTAAGAAAAATGCATGTTCAGGGGCGCCTGGGTGGCTCAGTCGTTAAGTGTCTGCCTTCGGCTCAGGTCATGATCCCAGGGTCCTGGGATCGAGCCCCGCGTCGGGCTCCCTGCTTGGCAGGGAGCCTGCTTCTCCCTCTCCCTCTGCTGCTGCTCCCCTACTTGTGCTCTCTGTCAAATAAATAAATAAAATCTTTTAAAAAAAGAAGAAAGAAAAATACATGTTCACTTGCCATAAAGCTTAAGCAGCAGTTTCTATTTAGAGAGAGAAGAAAAATAAAACATTTTTCTTTCCCAGAGTTTTTAAAAAATTAGTTACTTGGGCCTAACAATGAGAAGCACAACCAAAAATAGCAGAGATTTGGTTGCTTGATGTTGTTGCTATGAGACTGAATTCAACCCAGCATGTGTGAGACCTTGCTCTGGCCCCTCCGCTCTACTGTACTTCAAGGCACATGGAAGTATGCAGTGTAGACAGTTCTGGTGTCCTGTGATTGAGGACTACAATGCCAGGATACAGAGATTGCCCAAAATTTGGTAAGCAGTAAAGAACAACTAGAGATTAAGAGGTAAGGGGTGGAGGAAGGTTATAGTTAAAAACAAATTCTTAAGGAAAGAACTCAGTAATTTACCTAATGTAAAGATGTGATAACTAAAAAAATTTGAAATGAAGATTTCAAAAGACAGACTCTAACTCAGGCATGGACTAATAATCACATAATGTATAACTGGACTTTAAAAATGGGATCCTAACAGATATGTCAGAGATTCTTTAGGTGCAAGTAAAATCTTATGTAGCAGTGAGTGCGGGTGGTGGCAAGTCTGATCAATGGTTTTCAAACATTTTTTAACAGTGAGTACTTAAATTTAAAAATAAAAAAGAAGCAACCATTTACATTTCATTTAGACCAATGAATGCAGAACTGCTCTGGTTGACGTGGGGATGGGCATGGGAGAGAGGGGCACTCAACACATCTCAGTATGGGCCTGAGGCTTCTCTGCACAATTTTAGGGCACTACCCAACGAAAGTAAAGAGGACCAGATGACTTCTCCAGGTCCTCTACATCCCTTGATCAATGATAAAACAGCCCGGCCTTTATAAAGATGCATCCTTAGATTTTTGCAAATCTCCAAATTAATACCACTAAAGTATATACTTATCCCTACCTTCCCCAATATGGCATAATTTAATCAGAGTAACCACACATGCACTGCATAAAAAACTACAGAAACATTCTGAAATGACAGGCTGGGTAATTCCCAGGCTCACTTGTTACCTATATGACTTGTTCCCACACATCAACCTTGCAAAATAATCTAACTGTTCAGATAGAGCCTTTTTAATCATCTTTTATATAATACCATTTTTTGGTTTAATGTTGGATTTAGTATGTCAGTCCAAAGTGTACGTAAGCATAACAGAAACTAAATACAACCCACAATCTCATTCTCAACATTAGAAATTATTGTGGTAATATAGTAAATGATTTTGTGAAGTTCATGTTTCAATTCTATATATACTCTTAAGGCATGATGAAATTCTTGAATCAATGAAATATCAGAATTGAGGAAATTAAGGATGTCCATGATAAAAATGCACAGAGATAAATAAGCATAAATAAAGACTTTCTCTAAGGAATTCAAAATGCTTCACAGATGATTCTTTGTCATTCATGTTAATGAAGGGCAGATGATCTTCATTTTAGTTAATGGCTTTAATTTTCTACCCTGCCAAATTTTTTACTGACCCTACTGCTAAATAATTTAAGCCTAACATCCTCTTTCTCCCTTTACATCATCCTTTAAAGGGAGAGCTAATGAATAATAAAAACACAAAATTGGACAACAGATCTAGAAAGGACAAAAAAGAAATTCTGAATGGTTCATAACTTGTATAATAAATAGGTGACTACCCTATTTAATCTTGTAATTCTCTTGTGAGCTAGAATGGGAAGATGCAATTTGCTAATAAGGAAACAGGCAAAGAGAATATATTCACTATGCTAATTCCAAATGATTTATCCAATGTCACCCTGAGCTAAGGTTCAGCATAGAATTGAGTGATTATTGAGATAATCTAAATAGGGCATTGGATTACTAAAGAAGCACATGGATCTCCTTCTCAGAAAATATAAAAATAAGATTGGTACTCATGTTGGCTTTGGATAGAAATAATTTTGTCAAAAGACACAGTTATTAACTCTGGGGAAAATAACTCCTTTTCAAATAACATTAGGTATTTCAATTCAAATGAAAAATTTTTATTGTTTTTCCTAGTAGTCTTAGGACACTGGGTTGTGCTGGATAGGTGCTGAAGGGCAGCAACACACACATTTTACCTTCAAGGGACTTTAAATCTAAGAGAGGTTATAAAATATATCTCAATAGTTATAAAACGCTCACAGCAATGTTAGTGCTACAGAAAGAGGAGAGGGTGATTATATGTAGCTTGATGCCCAATAAAAGGGAGGGTAGTAGGTAGGGGTAGAGATAAAACTAGACTGGGCAAAAATTGGTAACTACTGAAGCTGTATAATGGGTGCATGAAGGTTCATTACAGTATTTTGTCCATTTAATTTTTTTCATAATAAAAAGTCTCTTAAATAAAAAAGCCTTCATGAATGAAGTGGCATTTAAGATAGACCTTGACAAAAGGGCACTATTTTGATAAACCAAGAAGTGAGGGTAGAAACAGCAAGATCCTGACATGTAGTTGAAAAGCCTGGGACTATTTAGATTCAAAACTGTACTACTTAGAACATAAAGTAGTGTGATACAACTAAAGTAGTGTGATACAACTAAAAATTATTTGTACTATTACTGTTTTGATGACTGAATATTAAATTGTGATGATTAAAATTATTACTGCAGTTAATAGCCATTGGTGACTTGAGCATGATTTGATTAAATCTCTGATTACAGGGGAAAGAGAAAGACTGGAATGAAGCAGATCTGAGTCCAAATTCCAATGAGGAGGACAGTACAAAGTTCAGAAGAGGTAATCTAGAAAAGAATGGTGACACTAGACATGGAAAAGAAAGACTAGGGAACAGGGAGAATACTGGAACAATTGCTTGAAGTGTGAGGAGAGAGAAAGAGGACAGAGAAAGTCAAAGATAAATTCAAGATTTTGTTTCCAGTCTGGGCACACAGAAGCAGGGGTGGTAGGATCTAGATTAGTGAAGAAGGCAAAGTAGGTTTTGGCTATGACAGTCAAGAAGGAGAGCGTCTACGTAGAGGTGACCAAAAGACAGGAAAGTATTGTCGCTCTATAAAAGAGAGGAATGGGAAAAGAAAGCAACTTGGGACTTACTCCTATGGAACTAATCAGTGAAGCGCAAAATTGCCGAGCAGGTGGGTGAGTAAAAGAAAAAAGATAAGAGGGCTGAGAACAAAAACTTGGGGGGTTAAGGGCTTGGTTTGGGGTGAGACAAGAAAAACAGTGAAAGACAGAAGAGAACATGGATAGAACTAATACTGCTAACACCTTGTATTTACTCAATATTGGCTAACAATAAACAACGCCAAATTTAAGTGGTTCCAAACAATACAACTTTTTCTCTCACTCAAGCAAGAGCCCAACATGGATTCCTGCTTAGGCGGCTCTTCTATCAGCAGCAGGGAAGGGATTCAGAGTCCTCCAAGTCCTTTAAGTCTATACTGTTCAGTCAAAGGATGGAAAAAGCCAATGGAAAATCCTGGGAGGGAGGTTTTATGGGTCAGCCCTGGAAGTGATGTGTATCACTACTGCTCACGTATCAAAATTCAGTCCTCCTGCTGCACCAAAATGTAAGGTCTAACTAGTCAGAATCTGTCACACCTTACGTTTGTATCACACAATTTTTAGAGGACTTTCTTATACTTTACTATATAGTACAGTTTCATGGAAGGCAGTAAAGCACAGTGGTTGAAAGCATGAGCTCTAGAGTTAAAAATCACTTGGATTTGTTTCTTGGCTTCAGGGTTTGAAGCACAGGTGTCACCTAGGATAAATTAAATCACCTCCCTGAGCCTCATCTGTAAAATGGTGATAATAACAAAAGCCAACCACAGGACTGTTAGCAAGATTAAGTGAGTTTAAATGTAAAGTGTTTAAATAGTGCCTGGCATGTGTCTGGCATGTAGTAAGTACTCAGTGAGGATTAGCCATTATGATCATATTAGAACTATCATATTAGGACTGTAGCAATTTAGTGACAGAGCGGGCATTAAATAACGTGAAATGTAGACAGACAGCAGCAAAGGCCAGAGGAGGAAAAAGCCATCGATTTGTCCACTAAGCTATATGAATAATTACAGAAAATTCTGCTTTGTTACAGTTGCTTAGCACCAACCAACTAAGAGGTGAAAGAGGCAACATTCCCAAATCACAGCAAATTTCAGTTTATATGTTTAGAACTCCAAAATAAATGACCTCTGAGCAAATCAGATGGCACTGCAGTCAAGGTAAATCCTAGAAGGTTCGGATGGGGTCTTTTTCCAAAGCTCTCATATTGAGGTAAGTAATCCATGCCTTGGAGAAAGAGTGCTTATCAATTTGAGATTGACTTTCTCTCCTTCCCTCTCTCAGGGTAAAATCTTTTAGTAGGTCACAGCCAGAGGATCCGCACGAGCTCATTGCACCTGAGCAAGTACTCGACTGTACTTTATGTATATATAGTGTAAGCATGAATATTGCCCATGGGTATTTATTTTTGGAAGGTTCACTTCCTTTTCTCTCTTTTGTTGCTTTGTCCTCATGCCTGTCAAATATCTTTTCACTTTGTCACTTTTGTGGTTTCTTGGTAAATGTCCAAATATCCTTTCCATAAAAAATCCTTTTTCATTCTTTTTGTTTAATGTTATGTTCATCACCATACATTACATCATTAGTTTTTGATGTAGTGTTCCATGATTCATTGCGTATAACATATAAAAAATCCTTTTAAAATTAAGCCTTTTGGGGGCATTTGGCGGCTCAGTTGGTTAAGTGTGTGACTCTTGGTTTCGGCTTAGGTCATGATCTTGGGGTCCTGAAATCAAGCCCCACAATGGGCTCCGCTGTCAGCGCAGGGTCTGCTTGTCCGTCTCCCTCTGCTCCTTCCCCCACTCGTGCTTTCTCTCCCTCTCTCTATCTCTAAAATAAATAAATAAAATCTTTAAAAATAAAAAAAATAAAAATTAAATGAAACCTTTTGCTTTGACGTAATTGCAGACTGGCATGCAGTTGTAAGTAATAATACAAAGATCCAGGGTACACTTTACCCATCATTTCCCCCAGTGGTAACATAGTACTAGTACAGGATAATACAGCATCACAACCAGAATATTGACATTGATACAGTCGAGATACAGAACATTTCCATCAAAACAAGGATCCCTCTTTTGCCCTTTTATAACTGCCCTCATCTTCCACTCACTCCCACCCCTTCCTTGAACCCTAGTAACCACTAATCGGTTTTCCATTTTATAATTTTGTCATTTCAAGAATATTATGTAATAAATGAAATCATATAGTGTGTAGCCGTTTGTCATTTGCTTTTTTTTTTTTTCACTCATCATAATTCTCTGATGATATTACCAGGGTGTTGTGTGTATCAAGCCTTTTCTCCTTTTTATTGCTGAGTAGTATTCCATGGTATGGGTGTATTGGTTTGTTCTACCATAAACCTGATGAAGAATATCTGGGTTGCTTCCAGTTTTAAATATCCAGAAAACCGTATGCAAAAAATACATATCAACTATCCCTCCAACCTAATATCTAAGACAATGGATCCAAGAACAACCAAGTAGTCAATGGGGAAAGACTGAACTGGATAGATATTTTTTCCTAATGCATAAAGGTATAGGAAAAAAAAAAAACAATATGAAGCCTATGAAAATATTCTGTGATGTCAAATTCAAGTATTTCACTTTTATGATATGAACAGATACCTCAGTTTCAAAGAACATTTACCATGAGAAATTTTAGAGAGCTTTTCTCTGTATCCCCCCAAATCCAGAAAAATTTAGATTCTATGGATCAAGAACTAAAAGATGAGATAACAGACTTGGATGAAAGGGAGCTGGCTAAAAACCAAATGAAGTGAATTATAGACAGATCAGAAAGAAACAAAAAGAAAAGTCATCTGCAAAAGTGGAAACACTGTCATAAGTAATAAATTACAGATGTAGAAAAGTATTTTGGCAATTAGGATGATACACTTGGATAATTCTATTATAATAAAAAAAGAAAAAAATGAAATTTTGAAAGAGAAGATCATAGAAAGAGAATGCAGAAAACAGAGAGTTGACTAATGAAAGCAAAGTGAAACTTTAGACTGCGCAGAAGAAAGTTTCTAGTCTGAGGAAAGACTGGTCTATATAGACGGAACAGGCTCATCTGTAGGTGTCAAAATTAATGAAAAGACATCAGTACTATTTAAATATACCTCCAGGACTGTAGGGAATTACAAGCAAAAGAAATGATCCTAGAGGCGTTAGGGAAAAACAAAACAAAACAAAACAGTTCCTATCCTAGAATAAGAATTGAACTTGTCTTAGACAACTTATAACAAACAAAATAGCATCTCAATAAATAGAAGAAAATAGAGCAACATCTATAGTTCTAAGGGAAAACAAGATTGAGACTCAAGAATTTCAACCAAAACCAAATTTGTCATTTATGTTTGAAAGCAGCAGAAATAAGTCTCAGGTATGGAAGGCCTTAGAACATGCGCCATTCATCTATCCTTAAATAAACTGTGAAGACCTATTTCAGGTAAATGAGAAACAAAGCAAATAGAAAACTCAATGATGCATTACAAATTAATTAGTTATAAACAATTTAGACAATGAAATGTAGAATTAAATTAATAAAATGATTTTTTTGAATGATTTCAAAACAAGAGGCAAAGATCACTTTAAAACGACACAGTATAAAAATATTTAACGATAATCTGGATGTTGGATGCAGGGGGTACTAATTCTTTTGTACTACATATTTTGTTTTATTTTATTTGGTACATTAGTCATTAAAGAAACATGGATTTATTTATGTAATATGATGGTAATCTTTAGTAGAATGATAAAAACAGATATTACCAACATCACTAGGATAAGTAGTTAAATTTCAGTTTTCTTACAGCAAAACTAGAAATCAGTAGAATTATCAAAGAAGCATAAAACAAAAATGACACATTTTAAAATGCATGAAGATGTCAGCTATGACAATAACTATCAGTGGGTTAAAATTTTCAAATAAAATACATAAATATTGGGGCACCTGGCTGGCTCAGCGTTAAGCATCTGCCTTTCGCTCAGGTCATGATACCAGGGTTCTGAGATCGAGTCCCACATCGGGCTCCCTGCTCAGCGGGAAGCCTGCTTCTCCCTCTCCCACTCCCTCTGCTTGTGTTCCCTCTCTCACTGTGTCTCTCTCTGTCAAATAAATAAATAAAATCTTTTAAAAAATACATAAATATTCTCAGACTATGTCAAAATACAAAGTCACTTATGTGTTCTTTACAAAAAGACACATTGTCAAACAAAATAAGAATATTTTAAAGTATGATAAACGATTTCAAAGTAAAAAAAAAATAAATAAAAGGATAAAGGAGAAAAGCACACGTATATTATTGATGATGGTTAGAGTAGAACCCAAGGCAAGGAAAGAGCACTAAACAGGACAAAGATGATGATTATTTTATTTTTATAAAACAGAGATAAGTGATTATGTATATAACATATCAAAATATATAAAACAAAATTATAAAAGTAATAGACATTAACAATTCTATTAGTATTTGATATGTTAAGTTGGTAAAACATTAGTAAGTTTATATAGTATCCCAACAGCATAATTTTTAAGGCCTAATTGTTAGATATAAATATTTTTAACTTGGTACCCCATGAATAGAGGATAAATTATCTTTCAAGAATCTAGAGCACTCTGGGGACACCTGGGTGGCCCACTCGGCTAAGCGTCTGCCTTTGGCTTAGGTCACAATGCCAGGGTCCTGGCATTGAGTCCTGCATTGGGCTTCTTGCTCAGCAGGGAGCCTGATTCTCCCTCTGCCTGCCACTGCCCCTGCTTGTGCTCTCTCTCTCTCTCTCAAATGAATAAATAAAATCTTAAAAAAAAAAAAAAGAATCTAGAGTACTCTGTACAAATTGATCATAAATTAGACCACAGAGAAAACACTGACAATTTTAAAAAGTAAAAATTATATAGATCTTATTCTTTTATTATAAAGAAATAAAATATAAAATTAATATTCAAATACTTGAATATATAACATATTATAATTATTGGATTAAAAGAATATCAAAAATATAATTATAAAACATTTTAAAATAAATATAAACATGCTGTTCTTTAAATTTTTCAATAGGTTTGAAGATTTTCTTTTTTTTTTTTTAGGTTTGAAGATTTTCATAGTAAAGTTTGGAAAACTACATACAATGTGAGAACAACATAAGTTTGAGTACTCTCTCATTCCATCTTCTTTGCTTTGAATGTGTAAAGGGAAGACTTTTGTGGAAGACTTTGGCATTTGCCATGATGAGAACTACTTTCATGGTGAATACCACCTGGAAGGAATTACGCGTTTTGAAATAGTTTGGAAGACCACTCCTATTGGAGCCTTGAAGATTTTTTTCTTTTAACTAATTTATGCTCACAAGGTATATGACCTTCACAAGCATGTGGGCATTCAAACCACTTACATATGTTAATACAGTCACCACAATAGAGTTATTCAGGTGCTTATTTGAACTCTGGTAGTATAATCCTCTTGTATGAGAGTGTGCTTTTGTGAGTTAGAAGTCAACATGAAAAAGGCTCATATACATGATACTCTATGTGGAAAACCCAAAAAACTCTACCCCAAAATTGCTAGAATTCATACAGGAATTCAGCAAAGTGGCAGGATATAAAATCAAGGCACAGAAATCAGTTGCATTTCTATACACTAGCAATGAGACAAAAGAAAGAGAAATTAAGGAGTCAATCCCATTTACAATTGCACCAAAAACCATAAGATGCCTAGGAATAAACCTAACCAGAGAGGCAAAGGATCTGTACTCAGAAAACTATAGAATGCTCATGAAAGAAAATGAGGAAGGTGCAAAGAAATGGAAAAACTTTCCATGCTCATGGATTGGAAGAACAAATATTGCTAAAATGTCTATGCTACCTAGAGCAATCTATACATTCAATGCAATCCCTATCAAAATACCATCAACTTTTTTCACAGACCTGGAACAAATAATCCTAAAATTTGTATGGAACCAGAAAAGACCCTGAATAGTCAGAGGAATGTTGAAAAAGAAAACCAAAGCTGGTGGCATCATAATGCTGGACTTCAAGCACTATTACAAAGCTGTCATCATCAAGACAGTATGGTACTGGCACAAAAACAGACACATAGATCAATGAACAGAACAGAGAACTCAGAAATAGACCCTCAACTCTATGGTCAACTAATCTTCAACCAGCAGGAAAGAATATCCAATGGAAAAAAAGACAGTCTCTTCAAC